CCCCCCCAGTGCAGACAGCCTCTCTGCTCTCACCACAGAGCCGGGGTAGAGCCTCTTGATGCTCTCCATGATCTCCGCCTTGCGCTGCTGCCGGCTGTTCTCCTGCCGGTCGATCCTGGCGTCGCCGAGCTGCTCCATCACCTGGTTCAGCTCGGTGTTGATCTCGTCGATGCGGCGCTTGGCCTGCTCCACCTCCTCCGTCAGCTCCTCCTCCAGCCGCTTCTGCTCATCCAGGGACTGCCTGCAGGCAGAGGGAAGCAGGGGTTGGACATGGCAGAAGCCTCGCACGTCCAGGAAAGCTGAACTCCAGCAAGAAAGACCGCCTGACATGGAGCCTGGAGGCTAACGATACAAACTCCGGACTTGTAGGACGGACAACAGCTACCATCCAGTCCATCCCACGGCAGAGTTTAAACCCCATTCATTTTTAAATGGACTGGCTGATGGAAAATTCACTAAAAACTTGGAATGGTGCACTAACGCGACACCGAGACTCCTACAGTGTGACAGCTGTATGAGTGTTGGGACAGTAGATCAGGCTTTCCACTAGGCGGTGCTACATACAACCTGACATTAGGAAACTACTTGTTACTGTTGATACAACAGTACAGCTTAACACGGAGGAACAGAGCAGCTCTTGCAGTGAGAAGTGGGTACGAATATTAAATATTAATTAGCTTGTGGACCAACTACTTCAGGAGACAGACTCTTCATTGTGCCCTTTTGCACGAATGCCTGCATCCAAGCACAGTTTATTAGGGCTCACCGGCGGTGGACACCTAACACTGACCAGTGTCAGAAACATGGATCTGTATCAAAAGAAAGGACCCGCCAGACTAGGGCAAGAGACAAGTAGTGTTTGTAATGAAGTTTTCAATATTTCTTATGACATGAATCAAAATAGTTTGAATCCCCCCCCCCCATCGGCACACGTCGTTGGGGCAGACAGTGCCCCCGTGTGGCAGGGCTGCGACATGACCGTACCGACTGGTGGTGATGTAGTCCTCCAGCTTCTCAATGCGCTTCTGGTTCTCCTCAATCTCCCGGATCTTCTGTTTGATCTTGGCCTGAAACAGAAAAAGAAAGCTTGCTCTCCTTCCATTGATC